TAATAAATAAAAAAATAAATAAAAACTGCTTGATTTCATTAACACTCTTTCCATAAATCTAGACATACATACAATATTAACAATGGAAAGATGAACATAACTGGTTCAAGTGGCTGTACACATGGGGTAAAATTATGTCAAAGCATTATACAGGCTGGGATTTCAGAATCTGTCCGTTAGCCGTATTAACAGGGTTTTCTTAATAGAAAATGTATGGGCTTTGCACTGGGAACTATAAAGTGGCCGTAATAACAAGGTGACTATAAGGTGGGGTTGACCACTGTACTGTAAGAAGCTTGCAAACATTTAGTGCACTGGCCACGTACTTGTAACAAAATAGGCAAAGAGAGCTATACATGAATCTTGGGAAGGACATGGCAATACAAGTAAGTCACTGAATATAATAATACATGTACTTGCAACTGGCCACATTCTTTACTGCAAGTACTGAGATTAATGTCAACTGTATTACAAAAGAACATGACAGAAATTACAACACGAACTATTGGACATACAAGAATACAAATTTTACTGTAGAATCACTTGACTTGCACTAGTAAACTTACAAACAGTGGTATTTCTTGTATCGCTGCTCAGGTAATTTTCCACTTTGCAGGTAAATGTGTACACGCTTTTATTACTGGCTTGAAAATGTAGCACGCTTTGATGACACACACTTTGCTGTGAATCACATGGTGTCCAAGTGTAACTAGGCTCGGGATTTCCTTCTGCTTGACATACAAGAGGTTCACATTGTTGTGCTGTAACTTCATGTTCACTTTTAAGGTTAACAATCTTGGCAGGATCTGTGAATTCAAAGAAGTGGGAAAAAGTGTTCCATCACTTGTGTCCTGGACATGAAGTACAAGGGATGTAAATGACATTAATGTAAAAGGGATGTAAGTAGTCATTTTATTGCCATTGATTAACAATATAACAGGCCAAATACCTTGAGCGAGAAAATTAATGTTTATGTCATTAATAGGTGTACAAAAAATGGACACAAGCCAACAATACAACAAACAAAAATAAAACCTGACTGTATGTAAATAAAATACTGCAATATGATAAGTAAGTAGCTACTGTACAATGTACATGTATCATTTGATAACATATACCTTCACGTTGTTTTTTGCATGACACATATGATTAAATACATGCAAGCATTACTGTAAGTGATGTTAATATGTCTCAGTTCTTAAATTATGTGTGCATATTTATTTATCTTCTTTACTTTTTTTTTAATTGCAAAAACACACAATTACTTACATTGTACTTAATCTACTTACAAAACGGCACAATATTTACTCTACTTACAATACCATACAATATTTTAGTTGACTACTTACACTGTTACGCTTACACGATCAAACAATATAACAACTTGCACTGCTACAAATTCTTACTTATGCATATACTTATACCTAAAATAGCAACATTTCATACCCCTTACTTCTTGAAATTTAATTTTTAATACTGGAAGGCGTCCTTTAATGGGTTCCACTTCCCTTTAAAAGAGTTAAGGGTGCTGTTATCTAGAGCTATTTTCTTTTCAATTTTCATGGAGGTTAACAGAAGTTATATATATATTTGTAGCTTAGGTATGGAGTTCTTTAATTTACAGATATACATGTATATGTCATGTGTAGCAATAAAGTACATTTGATACATGTACATTTTCAACTAAACCTAGGCTGAATGATGGAGAGAAAAAAAGTCTCTAAGACTTAGAGTATTTTTTTTCCAAAATGCTTGGGTATGTTTGCAGTTCCAAAACAGGTGGACCATAGTTTCAGCAGTTTTTCCCCGCAGAAAGAACAAGAGTCCACTCACAAGTTTTATGCCTATCTTGCAGAGAAAATCATTTGTCGCTATTCATCTATGCAGAAACTTAAACTGGAATACTCAGAGCTTTGTTTCTCTTGTACAAAGGAATGGCAGATAGTAAGAGTTTCGCCAATTAAGGGTTGAATTTCCTACTATGTCCCCTTCAGAAAGCCATTTTACTTGGCCCTGTAATGGTGTAGAGGCTTTGTCTAGCGCAAGGCATCTTAAGATTCTTTGTTAATATTTGAGTGTGACAGAAGGCTCACTGTGCCATTTGTAGATGGGTTATCTAAGGTAGGTGAGCATACTTTCTTGAATTGCTTTAAGGCTACTATTACTTTAAAATACTAAATATAGTTGGTTTTAATATTATACTTAGCAACAAATGCATTATAGCTTAAGAAGGTCTGATCTTGATTAAGTAAATCTCTAACCTCTTTAAAGCCTGCATTAACTAAGCCAAGATGTATAGAAGAAAGGTCAGTTATATAGCTATTCTAATTAGTGAGTTGTGCCAATTATACCCATGGAGTTAGTTTTTCTCTCTGTTTTACAAACTAGTCCAGTGTTCTATAATTTCTGTCAAGAAAGGATCTCTTACAATGTTGATTAAGCTGAGGAACACCCTGCAGTTTAAGGTTACTTAAAAACACTTCTTTTCCTTCGTACTTTTGGAGGTGGAAGTCTACGAAAGCTTCCATTTACCATGATTGTTGTCATTTAAATAACCTTTTATCCACTTCATTTTCAGAGAATTATTAAAACTTTGGATATCTATCATCTTGAGTCCTCCTTTATCATAATCATTGATCATTTCTGTCCTTTTGATTTTGTCCCCTTTACAATACCAGAGAAAATAATACAACAGGGTATTAATTTCTGAAGTGCACCCTGATGCGTTGAGAGAGAGGATAGAGCATGCACAATTTGAGATACTGCTGCAAATTTAATTGACGATTTTCAAAAAAAAGAAAGCCAGTTTCCCAACAGGCTCTTCAAATAGGGACAAGGAGGACCTACAGATAAAAAGGGGCCATGGAGGCAAAAGGCCGGGAAAGAAAGGTAACCTAAAGTATGGCTGTAGGTTAGTTGTTTTTAATGCATGTCTACCTGACTGCATTCCTAAAAACATGCCTGTAAAAAACTCAAGGTCCAAAGGGCCCCAAGTGCAAGTGCATTACCACCCCCTTGGTTGGGAGATTGGCCTGTCATGCATCCATGTGACATGTGCCTCTCTACTGAGGTAGCATACATGTATGCATACATAGCCCCTCAACACAAAACCCTCAACAATGTTGAACAACTGGGCAAAACGCCCAGCCACACAGTCAAGAACTTATGTTTAGCTACATGTAAGTGAAGGTGCCACAAAAAGACACTCCCCTGGACACCAGCTAACCCCCAGCAGATAAGCCAGTCATGAAAAGCTATGTGTCATACAGGATAGAGAGAAGCCACAGCTGTACAGTATAATACACTCACAGGCACATTTTAAAGACACTTGAGAAATGTACTACAAAAAAATTAGCTCCAGCTCACTGTGCAGTTAATGAATGGGTTTCAAAGCCACATCAGCATGACAGCAAAAGGAGAATGACAAATTTCTGATGCAAAGTACTAGCAAGTTAAAGTATTGTGCCTGGTATTCATAAAATGCCATTCTAAACCCCTTTCCCCTTTCAAACAAAGAACTTACCATTCAATACCTAACAACAGTATGGAGTAATTCCATCCCCGCCAAAAATCAAAGTTTATCACAACATTCGACTTGACAGTCTAACAATTAACTTGGCAAACATCAACATCCTATTTCACTCTTTAACTTTGTACTTTGTATCACAATCATTGAAACTTTAAACATCAACTTTCAAAGTGTGAGTGTGAGTTCGGCCGAGGTTACAAATTCCACTCCCTACTGGGCTCAGTAGGTGAGCTCAGTGGAGACAAACTTTAACTGTCCTGCCCCTCCCTCCAACCATTTTTCTGGAATCTGCAAAAATCTAGCAGACACGTGACCAGCCGCAACCAGGGTACTTTCTTGAGGGAGGAAGAGAGAGGACCCTGGGAACGGGGTTGAAACCAACTTTGAGAAATTGAACATTAGGTCATGGTGAACATATTTACGTCATCAGCAATAGCAATGTTGAAGTTGAATTGAATTGAATTCTCAAGTTGCATTTTGGTGGGATTGGTGCGCCTTTGGTGACTCAACATTCGACTTGGAGATTCAAACTTCATCTTTCGCTGACAGCCCATGTGTCAAAATCATTGTTGACATGTTAACATGAATGTTGATGGATA